GTGTGCATTTATTTTTATGCCATTTTATCAAATGTGTAAATTAAAATGACCATCACCAGAGTTAATTTAAGAACAGTTTCATCACAAAGATGCTTTGCACTATTTTATTATAGCCACATTAACCTCTCCCTTTTTTTCTCCCTAAACCCCGCAACTACTAATATATTCTCCATCTCTGTAATTTTAAGAATGCTTTAAAAATTTAGTCACACAGTTATATTTCATATTTTGACATTGGATTTTTTTTTACTTAGCATAATTCTCATAAGATTCATCCAATTTTTTTTCCCCTAAGCAGTATCACATGTAATGTATATATCACAGATGGTTTAACCATTCATCTCTCAAATAATATTTGAGTTGCTTTCATTTGCGGGAGGGGGTATTATAAATACAATAGATATGCCAAAAGCCTTTGTTTATGGTTTTTGTGTTAACTTACATGTTCATTTTTCTAAGATAAATGCCCAAGATTAACATTACAAAGTTGTATAGTAATTGCTTGTTTAATTCTTGGAGAAACTGCTATACTCTTCCAAGGTTGCTATAATATTTGACATTCCTAGCAGCACTGTATAAGTGATCAGTTTCTCTGCATCCTCAGTAGCATTTGGTATTATTATATTTTTTATTTTAACCAGTATGATAGGCGTTTAGTGATATCTCATTGTGATTTTTTTTTTTAATTTGTGGTTTTAATTTGCTTTTCCCCAATGGTTGATGATGTTCAACATCTTTTCTATACTTATTATTCACCATCTGTATATACTTTTCATTAAAAAAAAATCTGTTCATATGTTTTCTCTTTTTTCTTCTTAATTTTATTAAAATTATTGGATGACATTGGTTAATAACATGTATGTTTCAGTTGTACACTCAATGATATATTGTCTGTAAATTGTATTGTGTGTTCATGACCCAAATCAGGTCTCCTCTGTCACCATGTATCGCCCTTTTCCCTCTTCTACCTGCCCTCATGCCCCTTTCCCTCTGCTCACCACCATATTGTTGTCTGTGTCTATATTTTTTTTTCTTAACCCCTTCACCTTTTCTACCCAGCACCCATTAGTTTATTAATTTGAGACTTTTTATCTTTTGTATTGTAAGTATATAGTCCTATAAATGTCCCTCTCACTACTTACTGTGTTAGTTACATACCAAATATTTTGACGTATTTTTTATTTCTTCCAATACTATAATTATCACTATTTTTTTAAAAATATATATATATATATACATATATATACATACATATGTATATATATATTTATATATATATATATATATTTATATATATATATTCTTAATGGAAGTATCACATGTTAGGAAGTATCACATGTAAGATATATGTGTCTAATCATTATGTTGTATATCTGAAAATAATGTAATATTGTATGTCAGCTCTAATGTAAATTTTAAAAAATATATTTCTAAAAATTCTACCCTCTACTCTTCTCAATAACATTTAATGTTGGGAAGCCTGAATTATCTGTAAAACTGTGCCTGGCACACAGTATTGTTCAGCATTTGCTTATTGGCTAAATAAACCAAGCACCTATCTTGATTCCTAATGTTTAAGAATGGGCCATCTGGTGTCAGATACTTAAGTTCAAATCCTTGTTCAGCCAGTTTACAGCTGTGTAATACAGGAATACTTATTTGAGTTCTCTGTGGTTTAAATTCACTTATCTATAAAATTGAGAAAATTTTATTTATCACATATATTTTTTAGAAAGATCACAAACATAATATATGTCAAATACTTTTACCTGGCACACAGGAAGTTCTAAAATGTTAGTTATTTTATGATTATTGTTTGCTATTTTATTGTTACACAACTATGAAGACTAGAAATATCTTCACTAGCTTATCTACACTGGTTAAATTGAAGATCTTTGTGGTAAAAGTTATATTCCATAGTACATATATCTATATTATTCAGGTAAAAATATATTTTAAATATCTATATCTCATATATAATGTCTATATATCTCATATTGGTGTCTACCTATCTTCTGTCTTCCTTAGAAATTATTTTATTTTTTTCTGATCATTACTTTCCACCAAGGAATGATCACAGACATGTTATTTTTCACATCTCCTGTGGTCCTCTGGGGAGGTTGATTTATGATTCCTTCAGTTCTCTGAAGGCCCAGCTCTCGCATCTGAGAGTTTTATTCCTTGGGGCTTTCCTTCTCAACTTCCCAGGTGGCCTGCTTCTCATTTGCTCCGCAGCAGTGTGGTGATACTTCCATTAAGAATATAGACCTCTAGCTATCAAAGCCAGCAATGCCCTCAAGGAAATTTAAAATTCTCACAGACTCCTTAGTATTTTCCCCTCAAGAAATCCATGGCATTTCACTTCAATCAGTATGTAAATTCTCTTACAAAATCCCTGTCATTACTGATAATCATTAGTTGTATTTCAAGGATTCCAATAGAAATGCAAGGAAAATCCTATAATTGTGTTTGAGTTACCAGGTATGTGTATCTTATTATAGGAATGACTTATTTTTTATTATTGAAAATTCTGGGGTAAAAATACAAGTAGAAATTAAAAACATCCAGATGCCATTTAAAAAATTATTCAGCAATAAATACATATATGTTTATATATATATATATATATATATATATATATATATATATATATATATATATAAACATATATGTATATATACTTGTATATATATGTGTGTGTGTGTGTATGTATATATAAATATATACACATACTCATATATATCAAGATTTGTATATAATTCTGTGCATTATTGTATGATGATTTTTCATTAACTACCAAAGATTGTTTGAAAAATTGAAATTTCTAATCTTATCTTCATCTGGAAATAATTTCAGTTTTATGTGTATTAGTAAATTTTGATGAAAAATTTTTCTTAAATTCAACAAGAAATTGAATCAGAGCAGTTGTGTTTGGGCCTTTTTCTTATTTGCTGCTTATCCTGGCCTGTATAACCTCCCCTCTACTGAAGGAGGTCTGAGATGCTGACAAGAACTCTCAATCACTGGGAGATCCTGAACTAAAATATTTTCTCTCTCTGGAAGCAGGGCACTGCCAAAAGCTGTGCTCAGCGGAAGCTTTCTGCATGCCTTTTTATCTTTCACCCCAAAGCACTTATACATGTGCAAAGCATTTATACAAGTTCAAGGAAGAAGGAGTACAGTGTCTGAGGCTTGCTTCTTGCTTCTTCATTTATCTTGGGGATCCTGATTGCTCCTCATGGTTACCTTGCCATATCAGAACTCTATATTTTTTTTCTCCCCAGTCTCAGGAAATTTCCAAAAGGCTTTTTAACTTCCGATCTCTGTAATTTTCTTCTCAGCTTCTTGGCCAGGTGTTATAATCCTTGTGAATTGATAAACAGTGTTATAGGAAAGAGACCTTAAAATATTGGGATTATAATAGAGATTGGATATTTTTTTAATTGGAACTTGGCCCATAAAAATCTCATTGCCTTAGATGACTTTTACTTTGATAAATTATTATGAGCATTTAACTATTATTCACTGCAGAATATAAGATAATACAATATATTTAATAATATCAATCAGAATGATCATAAATATGTGATGTTTAAAAGAGACTAGTTGAAACATTAAAATCAAGTTGACTTTGTTATAATCTACACAGTTTTCAAAATCATACCAATTATTTGAATTGTGAGTTTCTAGTTTGTATTTACATATTCTTGGAATTTGTGGTAACTATTTTTAAGTGTTTCTAAAAATACATATATCATCAAAGTTTTCTAAGCCCTTAAGCAGATATTTCATGACTGAAATCCCCTTTTGTGTGTGTATGTATTGTAAATATACTTACTTTAACTTCCGATCTCTGTAATTTTCTTCTCAGCTTCTTGGCCAGGTGTTATAATCCTTGTGAATTGATAAACAGTGTTATAGGAAAGAGAGCTTAAAATATTGGGGTTATAATGCTGTTCTACTTTTGATAGATTGTTTTTTGTGTCAAATGCCCAGCTTCACTCTATGATTTCCTTTTATTGTATTTGTCATTGGTTCTACTCTTTATTGAAATGTATATCTTTCTATTTCTTATTTTGTGTGTATTTCTTTTGCTGGAGTAATTTTATAAGTGGAAAGAGCAATTATATAAGAATGCATGATTAGGAAATAAATTAGGATCTCCTATGTCTAAATTTATCTTGAACATTTCTAAGATAGAACTTAAAGTTTATTGGGATATACAGTAGTGTTCAAGTTTCAAAAATATTTTTGTGTGAAAAGTTAAAACAGTATATCTACTGACATTTGTACCCATGAATCTAACCCTTAGAATAAAAAAGATAATTATACAAATACCAAGACAGAAATAAGAGATAAAAGTAAATTATAATTGCATCAGATTTGTCACTGCAATTTGTACTCTGTCGCCTATCAACATGCTATTCATTAGTGCAAGCAAATAATAGTACTTTAATACCCACAAATGCAAATTATATTATACCCATCTAGTGTAGTTTACAGATTGGCAGTGAATATCATATATATATATATCATATATATATCGGATATATATATGATATATATATTTTTTTTCACGTGTTGAAAAATACATGAAATTGGAACAAGCTTGAGAGGTTCTAGGAACATTTCAGAAGCTCAGTGTGTGAGGCTGTCAATGAGAAGGATACTGATCTGAAATTAAATGGGGAGATATGAGATTAGGCCCTGGAGTTACTAGAGATAGTATTTTAAAACATTTAGGCTATGCTCAGATTCAAGGATTAATTATGAAGATTAAGTATTGTTACTGTTTTATTAGCTCAGTTTCCAATAACATAATGGCTTTTACCTCATCTGTGTCTATCATACTTCCTCTATTCCATGAAATCTGCCAGCGATTTTCAACCTTTTTCATCTATGGCACATATAAACTAATTACTGAAATCCTGTGGCACACAAAAAATAGATTATGTATATATTTTGCCAATTTGATCTCCACCCGCCCCCCAAAAAAAAGAGTATAATTTTGAATCACTCACACCAGACAGTAAATGTTGTGTTGGCTATTGTCATTTTTGAATTGACAATATAATGGGAAAGAGGTCAGTGCCCCTGACTAAAGTGTAAGGTATTGCCTGTTTTAACAATCCTTGCAGCACACCGGTGTGCTGTGTGACAAACTGGTTGAAAATCAATGACATACACCATTGGCCAAATGTTTGGTATACATGCTGATAGCTTCAAACTTGTATGTGACAAATACTGAGGGTGGATGAGCACAAATATTTCAACTACCACTGAAGAGAGGTGATGCAGTCTGACAAAAATAACTATTTTAGAATCTGGTGACAGGATTTCAGGATAGTTAACCCCCTTGATTGCAATAAATAAAAGTCTGAACACTAACTCTCCTTTTAAGTCTTTGGCTGAACCTAGCTCACTTATCTTTGTCCTAATATGCAGGTACATTAGAAAGTGTAGTTAAGTTTGGTTTCCGGATGGAGATGGAGACTTTTCACATCTCAGAATCACACAGAGGGTAAATAACTACGCCCAACATATTTAGATATACGATGAGTATTTACATATAAGGGGGCAAGAAGAATGGTAAATGTTCATTGTGATGTATATTTTAAAAAGAACTGTAAGAAACGTGGCACAAGAGAAAATTGGACGTGTTAACACTCAGTCTCAATCGGAAAAGTGATATTATGCAGGATAAACTCAAAGTGAAAAACTAAGAAAACTTCTAGGACTTAACCAATGCATTTGCCCTTGACTGGAATTGAACCTGGGACCCTTGAGTCTGCAAGCTGGTACTCTATCAACTGAGCCAAATCAGCCAGGGCAACACTGTTTTTATTTACCCTTTGTAATCAGCCTTAACTTATTTAAATGCATATTCCATAAAAATGGAGACCTTACCTGCTATTTATCTAATTATACTAGGGGGCCCAGTGCCCAAATTTGTGCACCTTGAAAGGAACTGTGGACCAAGAGGCTTTGGTGAGCACAGGAGCAAGTCTCAGCTCATTCTCTGTGCCCCTGCCCAGCCCCTCCCTCTGTGGCCCCCTTGTCCCCTGTCTTCAAGCAGCCCCACTCTCACCACTACTGCTCCCACATGGTGAAGGCTCAGGTTCCGCTCATACCTGCTGTCAGTGAGGAGTGATTAGGACAGGTGCCAGCAGCGGGTGCGAGTGGGGCTGGTGCCGTCAGTAGGTGCGAGCAGCAGCTACTGCCCCAATTGTCCCTCAGGAGCAGGGGGAGGTGGAGAAGCCCTCAGGGATAATCAGAGCCAGCAGCTGCCACTTTCACCCTCTGACTGCTCAAGTATTCTGCACGCACCCTATGGTGGTCAACTTCTGTCATAGCAACCAGTTGTTCAGTTGTTCCACTGTTCAGTCTATTTGCATATTAGGGTTTTATATATATGTATAGCTAGCTGAGTAACAGATAATTAGTCTTTTCTATATGTTTTCTAAAATAACCTTACTTCGTTATTTCTCCATTAGATCTAGTCATTCATGTAATATACCATATCATATCATATTCTTTATCATATTACACTTTGCACATATGTCTATAAAATCTGTCAACATGCATACCTATTGAACTGGAAAGTAAAATTTTGTGGTCCCTAACAAGAATAGGAAGTGTTTACTATAATTTATTTTGGGTGAAATATTAAAATTATGGTAGTACAGATTTGGACTCAGTCTCTTTGCATTGAAGGTCTTTGTTTCCAAAGCTTTATTGATCATATAGTTCCATTTTGATATTGGTTTATTTTTAATTGATTTTTAGAGAGAGATTAAGGGAGAGAGAGTGAGAGACATCAATGTGAGAGAGACATATTGGTTGGTTGCCTCTCATGTGACCCCTACTGGGGATCAAACCCACTACCTAGGTATGTGCCCTGAGCAGGAATTGAACCCGAGACCTTCTGGTGCATGGGATGATGCTCCCGCTGAGCCACACCAGCCAGGGCAATATTTTTTTTTTATATGGCACTGACTAGAGTGAGATTTGTTTTTATATTTCATATTTTCATTTAAGGCATTCCTACAACACAGTAGCACTCATAGACTCAAATGATTGTATGATTTCTAAAAAGGAAGGGAAACTAATAGAACTGATAGAATGCAGTTAAAATGTTAGGAAAGATTTGTGGTTCATTTGCGGCTTTAGGCCAGTCTAATCATTCCCATCTGCCCAATTCAATTACTATGTTTAAAGACCGCAACCTCTCAGGAGGGTGTGAGAAACATTTGTTGCAAATTTGTTTTATGGCGAGTGAACTGGTTTGTATTTTTTTACAGCTTGCTTAGGAAGTAAATATTTTTCCGTTTGGTAGATGAAGCAAAAAGCTCAGTCAAAAATGTAAAGAGAAATAACAGGAAGCAGAGCAAGATTTAAATTTCCATATTATTTGTAATACTTTGAGTTTATTTTGTTGTGATATGGGTATGTGTGCATGAATGAGACACTCATTAGACTCTCAGAGGGTGAGGTGGCTGATTTTTGCCTACATTAACATGTTCAATCAAATATAAAATATTAGACAATATATAAGCATAAATTAAAATGTAATTAATAATCATTTAAAATAATGTGTAAACTTTATTTCATGGGAAATTTAAAAAACCCAGCAGCTGTAACTAATTATTTGCAATATAAGATATAGGGAATGGGTATTGGGAAGCACTATATAGAAAGCCTATAGTTTAAGTTCTGATTACAAATATTACAACTGTTTACATGTACAAGTTCCTCCAGGTGCACGCAAGGTGAATGAATCAAACATTTGGTACTTTTCTTCATACCCCTTTTTGATTTTGCATAGGCACTCATGTTTGAAACAAAATATGTAGTGTCCTTCTCATTAGATTTCTCTACCTAGATTACACTGCTTAGTTTACTGTACATATTTAATTTTTAAAAGGCCTAGGGCTTCTAGTCCTGAAAACCACAAATTAATTTATATAACTAATATTTAAAGATAGAAGAAATTCACACTAGGGTACAGAATATATTTCATATGTGTATATAAAATTATCAGGTTTATCCAAATTGATGTCATGAATTAAATTATGCAATAGTAGAACTCTTATTCTGTGTACAGTATGAGTCCCCATTGTGAGTAAAGGCCATATAGACTGTAGCTCACAAAAGGGAAAAACTACAAACAGAAAATAGGGAATTTCAGCCTCTGAAGTTTAGGACAAATTTCAGCATATTTTTTTTTAATATTTAGGTAAAGTAAAACACAATGGTTACTGGAAATACAAGCGACACAAGCAGGGAGAATGATGTTGTCTACTGTATATGAAAATGCTCCTTTGAGCAACAAATACCATTTAGTTGGTTTTCTGTTCTTAATGGAACAAACCCCTAAAGGAAGGAAATTTCTGCACAATTTTCTCATTCATCATGAAGTGGCATTTTGTTTTCAGTTTCTATAAACCAATCTGGTTCTCTAATATCTACCCATTTCATTATCTAACTGGGGTGAGGACCTCAAAAACAAAAGAAAACGTGAAAAGCGAATGTGTTTCTGACAGCCATGATCCTTGCTAATGTGAAAAGAATACCTTGAGGCATTGGTTGGCAGCCCCCCTAAGCTGTGCGTATGCAATGCTGCTCTAACAAATGTGCCGAGATATGCCTTCACAAATTAGGCAGCTAAACGTGTGGCTGCTGGGCACCAGCGAGTCAGCCTGACTTGATTATCTGGTGCTTTCTTATAACATTTTAAAGTAAAATGCATATATAATGCTAGACGCTTGATGCACGAAATTCATGCAAGGGGCTCAGCCCTCGCAGCTGAGATGGCTTGCCGTGGCCATCACAAGCCCCAGCTTCGTCCGGAAGGTTGTTTGGCTGTCTGGTCCAATTAGCATATTACACTTTTATTATTATAGACTAGAGGCCCAGTGCACAAAGTCATGCACCTTGAAAGGAACTAGTGATGGGCACAGGGGTGGGTCTCGGCCCATCCTCTGTGCTCCCTGCTGTCCCCTCCTGCCAGGGCCCTTGTCTGTCTGCCTGCAGCACTGCTCCTGCCACCACTGCTCCCACCTGCCGACGGCACCAGCTCCACTCACACCAGCTGACATCACAGACTGATTAGGGCCAGTGCCAGCAATGGGTGGGAGTGGGGCCTGCATTGTCTGCAGGTGTGAGCAGCAGATGCTGCCCCATCACCCCTCAGGAGCAGGGGGAGGTGGAGAAGCCCTCAGGGATGATTGGGGCTAGCAGCTGCTGCTTGCACCCACTGATGGTGCTGAGCAATTAGGGCTGGTGCCAGATGCTGGTAGTGGGTGCGAGTGCCCAGCAGGACCATGGTGTGCAGGAGCAAAGAATTTTCAGTAACCACCAGAGGCTTGCCCCAATGACAACGACTGGTGCCCCACCTTTGTCTGGCTCCCCTGCTCACCTGCTTCACCATACCACCAGGGCCAATGTCCACCATGTTCTGAACTCTGCTGCTTGCTGCCAATGCCCACCATGTTCCACATGCACCCCCTTGTGGTCAGTGCAGGTAATAGCAACTGGTTATTCAGTTGTTCGGTTGTTCCACCATTGGTCTATTTGCATATTAGGGTTTTATATATATAGATGGGTGGAAATACTAAACCATAATCAGTGGATATATTAGATGAAAATTATTAATACTAATCATATATGCAATTATGTGATTAAAATATATTTGATTATTTTGTTAGATCACTTGCCTTAATGTTTCTTTTATAACACAGAAGAAAGAACAGGATTGGGGATGGAGATAAAAAGAGATACAAGAAATAGAATTATGAAAAGGTAGCGAATTTGTCCCTGAAATACTATGGTTTCACCCTGTCTCTCAGGATTAAAAGAACAGCTCACAGAGCCCAATATATCCCTCCTGGCCATGGTTTCAACCAAGATTTCCATAAGACAGTGCAAGTGAAGAGTCATGATCTGGGCTTCAGGCAAGAGGAGGGGACATGGTGCCAGAGGAGAAGGCAGGTCCTACCCTGAAGCCCTAGGAAAATTGATGAGCTTCTCTCTCCGTCTCAACCCCTGTGGGGTATTTACCATCGTGTTTAACCCTCACAGATGGTGCACAGCATCCACTGGTCCTAGTTTACCATGACCCAGGGGATCCCATATGCCTGCCTTGT